GTAAAGGACATCCTAAATTAAAACTTAGATCATCATATTAATTATATTTAATCAAGAACTAATTTAAAAGGATTATCCAATACAAGATTAACCTAAATAAATTCTTAACATATATTTTCACAAACGATTCAAAACAAAGGGATCCGAAGTCTTTAAAATATTTTAAGAATTCATATTATTCAATTAGACATATGCGAAAGTATGATAAAGAAAACACATCTCAATATGAGAGAAAAGCTTTTCGCTTTATTTTCTCTCTATGCCTTACTTCACAATATATATAAATATTCACAACATAACACTTGGCTACTTAAATCCTTCCATAACTGGCAACGAGGGGCCAAGGTTTCAATCACATTCATCACAATGACTATTTCCTAGTCATCATACTCTATATATCATCTATTCATCAATAGCCCATTATATGCATGAATTTTTCTTTTCATTCACATATAATTAATATTAACTACTTACCCTTGGACATAAAAAACACAAGGGGAGACCATAACAACATTTAAGTTTTTAAATTAAGCAGATAATAAGTATTTTCACTTGTACAAATATTTTGGCCTATTAATATAAATACAAGCATCAAACCACATTTTCAAGGGCCCAAAATAATTTCCACCCAACACAAAACTCATAATGCAAGTGAATCAAGAATATATTATTCTAGTTGGCAATATCATAAACTAAATATACATATTAAAACAAAAAGAGCAAGGCTTACGGAAGTGATTATTATCACTTTTCTTAATGTTCTTTTCCTCTATTCTTCCCAAATGAGCTAACTCCTGTAATATGTTAAAAGAGAGGGATAAGTATAACCACTCAGTAATTAAAGTACATCTAAGTTATACAAATGCATGATAATTAATCATGAATGCAAGTGGCTAATAAATTTATCAAGGTACACATGTAAACAATCGCATTAATAACATATTACAGGAGTACAAAATTTGAAAAATGACCATATATACATTATTCGCATAATTACTACATATTCTCATTTTCATAATTATAATCATATTCTCAACAATGCATGATTAATCTCTTCCTTATATCCCCCCTTATTTTTTCTAACATGAAATCCATGGGCCAATAACAGGAAGGGGTCGTCCATGTAGTGGGACTACCCAATGCCTTAATCATATTATGAGGAGCTATTGGGCCAGGGTTACTTTACTTACTTATGAACACGATTTCTCCCAAATCACACACTATGGGGTGTCATACCCAAAACTCCAAGTAGGCCAGTAGGGTCAAGTCCCTTAATAGGAACAATGCTACAGTACCTTACAATGTAAGTAATGGCTATAACTCCTAGAATTATCGGTTAATAGCTAAGTACCATATGAATTTTGCATAACCGCTAATTCCTTCACTAAGGCGAACTCCTGCCATATGATCATGCTCATGAAGAAATATATTTCAAAACCTAATATATATAATTCACAATTATTCCACATGCTTATCAACTTTTTTGCTCAACAAGCACCAAGAATCATCATATTCAATATGTCTCTTGTATCAATTTTATATTACCACATAAACCACATTAGTATCATATAAAACTCAAGATGCTCATGTACAATTCATTACTATGCAAAATTCATAATTTATAATTAAGAGTGTGCATATCATCATCAATCATCAATCTCATTATTCACACTAAGTCACAATTAACTTGTCACAAATCATAGGGTCTCAACAAAATTACATATGCATTACAAACAACTATTTCAAAATTTATATATATATATATATATATATTCTTTTGTTTCACCAACATAAATAATTAATTAACATAAAAATGTATAAAATAAATTTTCTTCCGTTACCTCAATCTTTGAAAGGTCAAAAATTACCTCTCAAGTTACAATACTTTCAAAGCTTTCCAAAAGTTGAATAGTGTTAAAAGAAAATTAATCTACAATGGATTATATTCTAATGTGTCAATAATATTATTAACATAATTTTTACTCATACTCTAACACCTAAGTATTTATTTTATATTATTTCATATTTTAAGACCTTAGTCTTATCCTTTTGAGTTTTAAAATTTAATTTCATATATTTGAACCTATCTATTTGGTTCAATAGCCTCCTTCACAATAATTTCATTCAAGTTTGGCTAAACACATCATTCAAATAATTTTTAATATTAAAATTTCCCTTTTAATTCTAAAATTCGCACATAAAAATATTCAAAAATTGCAAACTTAATCTCAAGCCTAGAATCATTATTTTATAGTTATAATAATTTATTTTTCATCTTAAATAATCATCTAAATATTAATAAATTAATTTATATTTTCATATTTAACCAAAAATCTTCCCATAGAAATCTAGGGATAAACTCAAAGGCCTCAAATTTTAATTTTATCAATAAAATAATAATTTAAAATATTTATTACACTAATAAAAATCTCAATAATCAGATTTACTCATTAAAATTTATCTCTTTTTCAAACCCTAAGTTTCTCATGATCTGCAAATCAAAAATTTAAGAGAAAATCTAACTAAAAAAAATATTTAAAATACTTATATAATTTTAGCATACTTGAAATTTTAATTAAAATATTCTATTATAAAGTTTCACCTTTTAAATTAACTCCTATCAGTGGCGCTTTCTCTCTCGCTCGCTCTCTGTATGCGGACGCAGAATGAAAAGGAAGAAGAAAAAAATGAAAAGTCAAGAGGCTGCGTGCGCGCACTCACACACGCCAACGTCTATCTCCTTTTCCTCTTTTTTTTTAATATAATATTACACCCTACACGCACATGTACAAATCCGTTTCTAATTTTATTTTTTTTAATTTCACATATCTTTTTTCTCTTGTAACAACAATAATAATAATTTTATTTTTTTAAAAAAATTATAATTTAGAATTTAATTTTATTTTAAATTAAATTCAATAATAATATTTTAAAAATAATTATTTATTTTTAAATAGCTTTTTAAAATTACTCATTTACTTTTAATTAACTTAATTAATTTTAAAATAAATTTTTTTGAGGTGTTACAACAAATAGCAAAGTAATCACAATGATATACACGCAGCCCACAAAACATCATCACACTTTGTATTCGGATTTGGGGTCATCAACATCACCAAAAGCATCTGAACACTTAAAAGCTTCCGACACAAGAGCGTAACTAGCGAGCTTTGGGGATGTGTGCAGCACCTAGAAGGCCCTTTAATCAACAGCTCAATACTACGAAAACAAACATGAATAATGTCAGTTTACTTACATGAATCAGTACATAAAAGCCTAGTTATATATGATTTTAAAAAAAATAAGAGAATAAAACACATTGTTAGGAATTATATTAAAAAAATTAAACTAATTTAAAATAGGGTTGTGCAAAAGTTTTTTAATTTTGTTTGACTCCATCTAATCTGAGATAAATTTAGTCCAATTCGATCTACACAAAATATGATCTCTCAAGACCAAAAGGGTCAGATTTTTTTTTTTGAATTGAACTGGACAAGAGACTGAGTATTTGGACCACTTGGTCTGATCCTATATATTTATTTAATATAATTATAATTAATTTATTAATTATTATTACAATAAGTTAATTTATAATAATTAATAATTTTTTGTGTTTTATATATGTGAAGTCATGAATACTAAGCTAAATTTTAGCATTGACCAACCTCAATCTTCTCCTTTTATTAGTGAAATTTGTTATTAATTTGGTGTAATAGATTTTAGACATGTTGAAGATTGTTTAATTTGAATCATTTGTGTTGTAATTGAAATACTTTTTATTGTTGTTGGAGATAGTTATAAATTTATAATTGTTGTTGTTGTGATAAATTTTACATGACTATAAATAATTTTAGGAAAAATATAACTTTTGATCCCTACACTTTATTTGTATTTTGCTATAGGTCCTTGTATTTTTTTTTTGGATGTTTTGGGTCTTTATACTTTTATTTTTGGTATTTTACATTCACTTAAGGTCTCTACACTTTGATCATTTTAGTCATTTAGGGACTTATTAAAACATTAAAAAATTAAAGTGTAAGGACCCAGAATACCAAAAAAAGTGCAAGGATCTATAGTAAAACATGAGTAAAGTACAAGAAACAAAAATTATGTTTTCCTGTAATTTTATTATGTTAATTGAGTTTATTATATTAAAATAAATTGTTGCCTTTCATAGATGAAAAAAATATAGAGATACTGGACAAGATTGAGATCAGTCTCCTAATTTTACTAGACCTCTCCAGTCTTGTTTAGCTTCAGGTTACACCAAGATCAGACCAGACTATGAGTTGTTTAACTCAATTCTTTTCATGAGAAGGACTAAACTTCAAGTTAGGTTGAAATCATGTTGGGTTAGTCCTTTGTGCAACTTTAATTTAAAGATTAATTTGTTCTTATTTAACCACGTATACATGCTAAGTCATTCTTGTACTTTATGTATTAGATTATTTTAAGAGTCAATTTGTGTTTTAAAATTTAAAGGACTTATATCATAATTTAAGAAAATACAAGGGACTAACAAATAAAAAATAAATTTGAAAGATCAAATCAATAATTGAAATAAATTTGAGGGACTAAAAATTTCATCATCTTTAAAAATAATGTTATATCAGAATGAGTTTTTTTTTTTTTTTCCTCCTTGAATGACATCTGACTATAGACGTGAAAATTTGGACTACAAATTTGAATGTTGTTTAATGAAACAACTTTCTTTTCGAGATGCATAGGGAGCAACAATTTAATTTGAATATTATAAGAATAGATTTCGTCAGTTTAAAAATTTAAAACTAGAAAATAAATAAATTTTGATTCTTTCAAAACAGATGAAACTAATTATGTATCCTATAGCTTTGATAAAGATTCATAAAGAGATAGTCATTTCCTTACGTAATGAAGATTTCACTTTTATTATGCATCGAATAAAAAAAAAAAAGATAACTTTGAATTTAAACATGGCAAAAAAACTTCTTAACTAACCTAGTGTTGTTTCTTGTTCCCATTCAATGGAATCTTTGAAGTCTTATGACCACAGTGACATATATTCGATCCACCACACCATTGAAGAATTGAAAGTAAGCGTGCCTCCATGCTCTGTTCAGGAACAAAGAACCACAAACTATCCAGGATCCCACTGCAAATCCAACTCCCATCCCAAGATACAATGATCTCAAAAAAGCATCTTCGTCATTTCCTTCAACCTGCTTTGTATTGTCTGGTTTTTCTGGTATTGTGCAGTTCTTTTGAAGAGGAGCTCCACAAAGGTCTGGATTCCCAATATAACTCCACGCGTCAAAACTCTGAAGCTGTGTCCCCAGTGGGATTTGTCCATTGAGATGGTTGTATGAGAGATTCAAATCACTTAGAAAAGATAGACCAGCCATGCTTTGAGGAATGTTCCCATGAAGACTGTTATGGGAGAAACCAAGAGATTCTAGATTTTTCATATCTCCAATGTGCTCAGATATCTCTCCTGTCAAATAATTGTAAGACAAGTTCAAGGATTGTAGCTTGGTGAGCTTGAACAATTGTGCAGGAATTTCTCCTGATAGTCTGTTAGCTGACAGATCAAAACTCCGGACAAGTTTTAGATTTTTCACATACTCTAATTGTTGACCCTTTGTGTGCAACATAATTCTGAATTGAAGTGAAGGGAAGGTGGAGATATGATCTACTTCGATGGTTAAAGCATTTGCAAGAACTCCTGTAATCATACTGGTTATATTGAGTAGACACTGAGGAATTGGTCCTGAAAGTTTATTGTTTGCAAGATCTAATACAATCAAACTAGAGTGACTACATAGTTGGGGAGGAATGGTGCCCGTGAGTTCATTGGATCTTAGCTTCACAACTGATACATTTTGTGGTAACCGTGTTAGCATACTTCCAGAAAAGTGGTTGCCTTCTCAATTAATCAGCACCAAATATGTGCAATTATGAAAGGTCCAAGGTGCATGACCAGAAAACTTATTATTATGTAGATCTAGCACCTTCAGGTGATAAAACGATGAACCCATCCTTGGAGGAACTTGACCAACCATACGATTATTCCCTAGGTATATATAAGACAAGGAAGTCCAACTGCCCAAACATTCAGGAAGTTCTTCGGCCAGATAATTATTTGATATGTCTAAATACCCCAACCAATGCTGGTTGATCGGATCAGGGTGACACAATAAAGACGATAAAGATCCTGAAAAAGAGTTGTAAGCTAAATCCAAAACTGAGACCTGATTGGATACTCGAGGAAGCCGTCCTTTGAATTTATTAAATGACATAGAAATATACCCACCGTCCAGCAACATGTTCGATACATCTCCACTAATTGAGTGGTGAGACAAATCCAAAGTTGCAAATTGCCTTTTGTCAAGGTTTTTTGGAAGTGTACCACTCAAGTCATTGAAGCTGATATTTAAATATTCTATTTGTGATGCGTTTACGAGATTAGAAGGAATGGAACCGTGAAACGAGTTAACAGAGAGATCAAGCACAAATAATTTTTCAAACTGGCCCAGCCAATCAGGTATCGGTCCTTCGAGTTTGTTGTCAGATAGATCTAACGCCCATAGATTTCGATAGCTTGAAAAATCTGGAATTGGACCTCTCAAATTGCAATGATCGAGTTGAAGATAGGAGAGATCTTTGCTAAGATTGAACAACCAATTAGGTAGTCCATAGGTAAAATCATTTAGACCGAGATCAAGCTGTGAAAGTGAGCTAAAATTAGCATGTTCTAGATATAAAATAGATCTGGTCAAATTACAATCATCCAAATATAAGCCCTCCAGAGGTAGCGAAGCCAATGAGTGAAACCCATTTCGTTTCACTAGGAAGATGAATGCCACCAAGTGCGAGCGATGTTAGGGAAGGAAGTTTAGAGAGCCAATGAAGATTATCAATGGGAAGATGCATGTTGTATGATAGGCCGAGAGAAGAAAGCCGAGAAAAATTTGCAGCAGAATTATTTAGAGATGGTGTGCTTAAACGTTCAAAATCATTGTAGTGCAAGTCCAGAGCTTCCAGAAATTCAAGTGCGAGTAAAGAAGATAAGTTGATTTCACCTCTCAAGGATTCATTTTGCGTGAAGTAATTGGACAAAAGAAGATATCGGACCCTGCTGGTGTCGAGATCACACGTAACTCCTTGCCATGAACAGCAATCTTGGTTCGTAGAGGACCAAGAGGAGAGGCGGCCTGAAGGATCAACAACGTCTTGTTTGAACATTAATAGCAAAGTTCGATCCCTGTCATGGCAGCTGAAGCTTCTGTGGAATGTGAGGGCACATAGCAGCATCAGCAGAAGAAATGAGATTCGTGATGCGAAACTAAGCATGTTCATTATGCTTGTTGGATTACCAAGCAAGTGCTTTCGAAAGGGGTTTCTGCAGGTGTAGGGTTTGTCATTTCTCCCCCGAGGTTTATACATGTGAGTGGAGTTCTTTTTTTTCCTTCCCCCCCCCCTTTTTTTGACTATTTCCACGATTACAATTTTTTTTTTTAATTTTATGAAAACTTGAGACTAATAATACCCTTGCAAATGGGGACAATAGGAAGAATATTCCTTAAACTATATATTATTGGGTTTTAATTTCATTATTCCAGTAAAGGTGGGAAAATTTCAGTAATAAGCAGCCAATTAATTTAAAATCAAGATCAAATTAAAGGATTATGAAATTACACGTAACTCTAAAAAAATTATAAAGTTTGCTATTTAATTCCCTGAAATGAAATTGAAATTTGGCCTCTCAACACTTTTTCAACACTCCATTTTTGCTCGCTCCTCTTTTTTCAATCACATGCCTTTTACCATATTTTCTCTGATTTTATTTATAAAATATTTTTAAAAGTAATTTTTAGTTCAAAATATAGAATATCTTATAATAATTAAATTATTTTTTTAATTTTATTTTTTATTAACGTGAAGGTATTTAATGTAGTTGTATTATTATTTAAAGTTAATGATAAAAAATGAGAGTATATGTGACTTTTTATTATATAAAAAAATAACTTTTTTCAAGATGTGTGAAATGATTAAAAATATTTTATAATAAAGATCGGAGGAAGCATATGTAAGTGGAAATTAAGATGTATTCATCACAAAATTTCTTTATTCTATTATTAACATATTCATACATTCAGGGAAAATACAAAAAAAAAAAAGAATGTTAATTATATATTTTTTTTAAAAATTTCAAATGTATATACTCATTCACGCTTGAAAAGTCGTCTCCCCAGATCACACTCAATTATATTGAACATTGGAGTCTCCTTTCGACAATAACAAAACTACTTATCCTTGCAAATTAATATATTTTTCCCCTTTTATATTTTCCCTTCTGTAGAGCTATTATTGCAAAGTTTAAGAGATTTTTTTTATGATTTATCAAAACATAAAAATTTCCGCTCAATATAAGAAATGTTTCAATTGCTTGCCTTTCTTTTTTTTAAAAAAAATACGGAAATAAAAAATCAATTCATTGTCGTTGTTATAAGTCTTTAAAGTTTGTTTTTCGGCCCAACCGAGTCTTTTAAAAAAAGCAATTATTATCGTTGACGAGTCTTTGCGTGTGGAATAAATACTAACCAAGTCAATGTTACGCAGTCATCGACTTTTTGTTGTTTATTTTTCCCAAATTCTTTGCTTGTATGAAACGATGCAGTAGTGTGGTCGTTGAAACGACTCTATGTCTATTTCTAGAATGCCTTGGTTTAAATGGAATTTGGCTAAGCCACCTGGGGCAAGATGGTCATTTTGAAGGTGAACCCATTAATTTTCTTCATCCTCTTTATATTATCTCATATATATATATATATATATATATTTTCGATGGAAATAAATACAGCAGGGATTATAGTTGTCAAACTCTTAAATTTGCTTTCCGAATTTAACGTTTGTAGCTTATAAAATTGTATAAATTCACTTCTAAACTCAAATTAAATACAAAATCGGTTAAATTCACAAGTTTATCTTTGAGTTTATCATTTTTATGTTTTAAGCTTATAAAATTATATCAATTAATTCATAAATTTAGACTATATGTAAGCTTGTTAAACTTGTTAGGCTCGTTGATTTTTTTTTTGAGTTAAACGAGTTAAATATATACTGATATTAAGAATTCGGCTTATAAAAGTCATAGAACCTAGTCCAAAGAAAAAAAAAACCTAAAAAGCAAAAATTAATATTAATAAAAAAGAAAGCAAAAAATATCAAATATGAGTTTCCCTATTTTAAATTTTCTATATTTTATATGATAATTAATCTATATAGATGTGTTTAATTTTAATAATTTATTTTTCTTGTTAAAAAATATAAGACATTTTTTGAAGGGTTGGATATTAAAAATTTTAAAATATTTTTAGTCTTTCAAACTATAATCATTACATTTTTTTAAAAGTATTTCTATTGAATAAATCACTTTATATTTATTTTAGGTTGAAACATTCTATTAAACATGGGTAAATAAGAAAAGATATGATTAATTTGAAAGTAAGCAGCTACTTTATTGGATAAAATTTAATTAAAAATATCTTATATTTTTTTACAGAATAAATATATTTTACATATATTTAAATTAAATTATGGTTATATTTTATATTTTAATTATTTAATAATAAATTTTTAATGACTATTTATAAATAGAGGTGAATTCTTATGAGTTTATGATTTAAATTTATATTTTTACTATAAGTTTATTTAAATTTATGAGTTTAATAACCTTAGCACGGACTAAACTATGATGAATCAAGTTTGTCTCCATTTAAAATCTCCATCTCTGCATCACGTATAATCAAATTTAATTTAGAACCCCCCTTTTTTTTTTCCTACCCGTAATTTAGAACCGGTTTAACTTGACAGGAAAAACAAAAGTTAATTACTCAACATTTTACTCCAATTACTTAATGATTATGCATTTGTAGAAAGTGAGGCCTTTGAATTCAATCCAATCATCTATCCTCTCTGTTTTTTTTTTTTTATGAGAAAAGTTATAAAATTTAAGAAACTTCTATCACACTTTTTCAAATTGCCTCTCGTAAAATGAGAGCTTTTTTACAAGAGACAATCTTGATTCGTTCGCATGTTACAAAATAATTACAAGGATATTTTAGTTTTATTTTTTTCAATTTCTGATATAATCAAGAACTATTTTTAACTCAATCAGATTTCAATTTTTTTTTGTTAAGAATTTTTTTTTCAAGATCATAAATGTACTGATCCATTCTGTGTTTTAGTCAAAATCATAAATTTTTAACTTAAGCATGAAATCAAATATTCTAAAATTTCAGGATCAAGTTAAGGAATTAAGCAGCTGTTTGTTGTCTATGTCTGCTATGGAAAACGCATGTGATTCATGTGAGCAGAGTGACAGAGGAAGGAGAGAACTATGAATTGAAAGATGATCAATGAAGAGCACGAGTTAGGATTCTTCAGTTTTAGTAACAACAATACTTCAGTTTTGTTTGTCACAAAGCCAATATTTCCATTCTCCGGGGGAAAAACACTAATAATGATTTGCTGGCTTTGTTTTTTTCTCGAGCCAATAAATTTGAATTCATACCTAAGCTGTCATATTTGTCATGTGGACGTTAATTGGCGGTTGAGACTTGAGAAAACTAAAACCTTTTGTTTATTAGAGGAATGCCCTGCCTTGGCTTACTGCAATTAGCAGGTTTTTGTCTTTCTGACAAACAGTATGACATTCTCTCTAAGTTCAGATTTCATGACAAAACGTGCAAAACTGAGATTACATGTCTGTCTCTATTTAGAATGGCCCCTTAGCTTCAATAATAATGGCATCAAGACGACAGTTTAAGATTAAACTGGTAGCTATATGCCATATATTTGAAGATGATTATTGACCTGTCATGTCACATATTGAGCTCTGTTGGAAGGAAAATGAATAAGTTGTCCATGATTGTTTCACCTCTTATCAGTTTCTTCAGGTTTTGACATCATCTTCTATGAGTGTAGTTTTTCATGTTCAATATGCACACTCATTTGATGTCTAGTCCCTTGATATTTATCACATATTTTGCACTTTGGCTGCTGGTGCCGGTATTCTATCTAGTGTTGTGGTTTTTGGTACAAAAGACTGGGATGTTCTCACTTCTCAGATGCATACATTCATGTTTTTGCTACATGGTTGTTCAGTTCACTGTAAAATTAATGTCGTAATCATAACTAAGAATATCATCTTGGTTGAAAAATTTCTTAGTTATCTGGTACAAAATTCTTGTGCACTCTAGGAAATTGCAACATTTAGTTATCCACTACTATTATGTTTATTGACAGAGCTCTTCATGTTAGAATAATTCTGTCCATCTAGGGAATTCAATACATTCCCACTTTGTGCGATACTCTTGAATGCAGTAAATTTCACTAACACAAATTTAATTATACCACAATGTTAATCTCCAGTTCATGATGTATAAACAAAGTTAATTTAGAACTAGTTTATCTTAAAGACTCACATACCACATTTTACAAAGCAGGAACATTATGATGAGAACACCACATTTTAACATAAAATATTTCAAATCTCATGTTTCACAAACAACACTGGAGAGGTAACTAATATATGACAACACCTCTCCATAATAATTGGACACCCAAATCAAGCATACCTCGCAAAATCTGAACAACACAGACGGTGTAGTAATCACGACGGCAAACACAACCTGCAAAACATCATTACACTTTTTATTTATTCATCAACATTACAACACTTTAATAGCCCAATATTATCTGAACACTTGAGGCAGGACACTAGAGCTTGACCCTAACTTCCACTAATCGAAGAGCAAAACTAGATAAGCTTTATGGGGACATATGCAAGTTTCGAAAGCCTTTCAATCAACTACTTACTTCTAACTATGAAAAACAAACATGAACCATATCAGTAAATTGTTACATGAATCAGTACATAAAGACTTAAAAACCCAAAATATATATAATATTATTTCTTTAATTTGAAAATCTTGGCAAAATGAAAACAATCTTATATAAGAATGAGTTTTTTTCATCCTTCTTGAATGACATCTAACTATAGAAATATACTCCTTCAACAAAAATATAGAATTGTAAAATTTGGACTATAAATTTCAATGCTGCAGTTTATATTGGTAACAATTAAACTAATTTGAAGGTTAATTTATTTTTACTTAACTACGTGTACATGCCGGGTCATCCTTATACTTTATATATTAGATTATTTTGAGAGTCAATTTATGTTTTAAAACTCAAAGGATTTACATGATAATTTAAAAAAATACAAGGGACTAAATACATAAAATAAATTTGAGAAATCAAATTGATAAATGAGATAAATTTGAGGAACTAAAAGTTTAATTATTCCTAAAAAAAATCTCATATATATCAGAATGAGTTTTTTTTTCTTCCTTCTTGAATGATGTAACATCCTGATTTTT